TGAGGACACAAAAGGTGGCCACTGCAAGGCCAGGAAAGAGGCCTCAGGAGAAACCAGCCTCCTCGGCGCCTTCATCTTAGACCTCCTCAACGTCTCCAGAACTCTGAGAAAATAAATTTCTGTCGGTGAGGCTGACCGAGCTGTGTTTGGTGATGAAGCTGCAGATGACAGGCACCATCCATGTGCTACAGACCGCAGCTGATCTGTGACAGGACTTCAGGGGCAGACAGGACTCGGCCTCAGTGGGGGCTCACCCAGCAAGTCAGGGCTGGTTTCCAGCCACAGTTCCAAGACCAGGGTGAGGCACTGGACAGCGTGAAATGGACGTGTCCACACTGGGCGGTCAGTGGCCCACCTGAGGCCCTTGAGGACGCAGGCCTGAATTCCTGCTCCGCTCCATCCTTGCCAGTCCCCCCTGCCAAGGAGAGAACTCATAAACCACGGTGCCCAGCTGCAGGGTCACGGAAGGACAGGGTCACCCCTCCGTGGGGCTGTAAAGAGAGGACGGAGTTTATGGCTGTGTGAGATGTTTACAACAGAAACATTTGTTTCTCAAACTGCTTTCGGGTTGCTGAAGTGAATTTCTTCTAAAGCTGAAAAGTGGCCATCCATCTGCTTGATGGCACGTTCCCTGGAGGCAGAGAGCAGAGGCCTGGGCAGTTGGAATGGGGTCAGGTTGGGGGAGGTAGTGACAAATCAAGCCACAAATGGGGTACGTGTTGTAGATGTCCCCCTACAGGCAAAGGGGCCATGTTTTTGAACCAGAGTATAGTATAAATTAATTGATTAATTAATATTTTTAAGTTGCCTTTGATTTGTGAAATTATGCATAGGAAATTTTACAGAATTAATCAGTTAATTACATATTCAAATTTTTTTATTGCACATGGTATCTTATTATTTAGTATCTTATCATTAAAACATACCAAAATCTTTCAAAAACTTATAAGCAAAAAACTTTAAAGCAAAATTTGCCACTCTCAGCTGGAGGTTCAGGGTGCAGACCTGTGCTAAAGGGACTGGTGAGCAGGGCGTGGGGGCGTCCTGCTCAGCAAAAAAGGGAATCTCAAAGGAAAGACTTGACCCAGAAACAGAGCTGGTGGCGCGAGGACCCAGGGTGAAGAATCACACAGGCAGTTCCCAGCAAAAAATATCATGAGATCACGGTCTTTCCCTGAAACACTCTAAAGACCCAGCCAGGAGCAGTACCTGCTTTGTTCCCCAAGCGGGTGAGACTCAGCAAGAACCTGTTTGCTTCCCCATAGTCCCTCCTGCCCCTGTTACCTCGAGGGCGCCCAGCCCCAAGCACAGGCTCCCAGAGATGGCCACTGAGCTGGTAAAAGACAGTCATTCTCTGCTGTGTTTTTACCAAAGGCAGTGCTTTTATTTTGCACCCCCCCCCCAGATTTATTCAAGACTTGTTTCATAGTCCCTACCCGTTACTCCCCCCCCCCCCCCCCCACCCTCCGCCACAGGGTGCTGAGCTCTGGCTGGATCTGGGCACCCAGCTTTGGAACCCTTAGCAAGGTGTCTGGCAACAGTCTGCAGATAGTGGTTCATGGTGAGGATGGGAGAGTGTAGAAAAGCAGAATGTTCCAGCAGCCACGCAGCAGGAAAGGGCCAGATGTAGACTCATTTGTGAGCACCTTGAGCTCCAGGGGTGCCTAGATTAGGAGGAAAGACCCAGGCCTGGGTGAGCAGCTAAGGCAGGGATCCTTAATTGCAGATGATCCCCTTAGTATAGCCTCAAGTGTGCCCCCTAACCAGGAAGGTAAGGAACAGGATCCAGCCCCAGGGCCTGCTCTTGGCCAAATGCACCCTCATCGCTTATCTACTGACTTACACTGACTCACTGACTCACTTACACAGCCTGGCTGAGGCAGGACATTGGGAGGGGCCCTGGAGGGGACATGTGCATGGTGCCTTCTCTGTGTCTGGCTCCCTTTTGAAGATTTGGCCACATTTCCCAGATGCGGAGGTGGGTAGGAAGTAGTCACCATGATTTGTCATTCAAAGGGGGACCATGTTTGGGGGTACTTGGTGCAAATGCACTGCTTTTACAACCTCAGTTGCATTATATTAACGGTTCGTTCCCAATCAAATGGGTTGCTGGCTCTTGTCTGTCGCTATGTATTTTAAATGCATTTAAACGAAGCTATTACTTAACAATTGCTGTGGATTTTTCTGATGCTTGTTTTGGGGGTTGTTTTCTATTTTGTTTTTGTTTGACAGTGTTGAATCATCATAATATTGTAAAGCATTTTTCTAGCTCACTAATTGATACACTCTTGCCTAATTGCCTGCTGTTTCCTTTCTTCTTTGTTAAAATGACACAAGGTTTTCTGTTTTGTTGCCTCCAAAAAACAAACACTGCTGCTTCACTGCCCCTCCATCTGTGCCTCCACCAGGATGACAGCACACCCCAAAAGTTGTACACCCCTTATCCTAGGCAGGGGCCGGGAAGGGTGGAGAGAGAGCACAGTGGCCTTCAACAGGTCCCCTGCATTCCTGAAGCTCCTTCCCCAGCACCTGCCTGACATTTTCTAACCGACTCCTGACAGTTGTGCAGGCCTTGGTTGCCTGTTCCTTACATTTCCAGAGGATTTCAGAAGCTGTGAGAACTAGGAGCCACCCACCTTTGGTCAGAGAGACTCCCCATGTAGCCTTACATATCCAGCCAGAAACTGCACCCTTAAGCCAACCAAGCCCATGCCATTGGCCTGCACTCCACCTGGTACAGGTGGTGTCTCCACCTGCCACCCGGCCTGTGGACCCCTCCCAACATTCTACATTCCTGACTCAGCACTGAATCTCAGCGTTGCTGCTATCAGCTTCCGGCAGACCATAGGGCTGATTGCACTTCCTGAGCCAGTGGGGTGTGCCCACTGGCCTCAGACTGCCTGGGGAGCTGCAGGCCCACATGTGGTCATGACCCCGGGCTTATCCATGAGGTTCTACCTCTTGCAGGTTCCCAGGTTCCCGGGATAGGAGGTCAAATCTTATGGCAACTTTAGAATTTCAAAGGGGAAAAAACCAAACCAGGTCAAAACATTAACTGGCCCCTGGATCCATGCCCCCTACCTTCCTCTCCCATGAGCCCTGCCTCCAAGCTAAGGAAATTTCTCCTTGATTGGGTTTGGGTTGCAGTAGGGCCTATTTCTTTAACTGCCTGAATCTGAATGGAACAACCACTCTGCCCCATGCTGTGGAAATGGACCTCATATTTAATGCCTAAGGTCCAGGACGGTCCATTCTGCCTCATTCCTCTTCCTTGAAAGCTCCCTGTAGACCTCCCGGGTAGAACCACCCAGTGAAAGCCTACAGTCTCGCTGTGACAATCGTCTCAGCCACAAGCAGTGGTGGCCTGTGAGGCTCTAGGCCTTGCCCACTCTTACCTGGCCACCTCACCACCTTGTCTCAGGGAGACAAGTCCAGGCAAGAGATAAGGGTGGAAGAGGCAGCACCAACTCAGGACCATCTGTTTCTTTTTGTGCTGCAGTAATTCCTGGTAGAGTGAGATGCAGCCTCTTCCCTGCGGTGATCATGGACAGCAGGGCTTCACCTGAAACTCTGGTCCTGAGACCACTAAGAATGGGAACTGGCGGTATGGATACTTTCTTCTGAGAACACCTCTGCCCTTTCCACAGAGCCTGCCCAAACCAAAGCTCAGCTGACAGCCAGGATTATGATCCTGAACTCTTTGAACTCTTTTATAGGAGAAAAAGTACTGAGACCCAAAGAGAGGAAAGTGACATACAAAGTCACATGAAAGTCGTGACAGAGTTGGGACATTATCTCACCACCCAGGAGCCAGGCTTCAGCCCCCGTGCCCTCTTCTCCTGACTTTGCCCCGCACCTAAGAAAACTCAAGATACTGATGTCCTGTTTCTTTCTACTGGTTTGGTAGAAGTAAGCAAGGTGACGTTAAGGACCATATTTTGAAGATTACAAAGATACTGTTCGGTTTTTTTTTTTTTTGGAAGCGCAAATCAAAATTCATGTATATGATTCCTCATTTATATACAACATTTGCTTTATCATCTGGGCCCAGTTCACCCGTGTCCAGCACATTGTTCCCTGTTCTCTTCCCTTCCCTGTTTTGACCCTCTCCCTCCTCCCCCCTACAGAGCTGGGTGGGGTCATTATGCTCAGTGAAATAAAACAGAAAGAAAAATACTGATGGTTTCACTTATAGGAGGGTAGGGGATCCAAATAAGGGATAAGGATTTTTAAAAAAAGTAATTGTAATAAAATCAAAATCAGAATCAATAGGCAACTATAAAACAAAAATCTGGGAACTTTAAAACCTTTATGTCTGAATATTCCCTAGAAGCACCGCAGAATTCTCTGAAAGCTGTTACACTCAGGTTTATGGTTTGTTACAAGGGAAGGCTCACCATTATTCTCCTGGTATCGATGTGTGACATTATGTGTGGAGGACTGCCAACCCAGGAAGCTCATCCAAGCGCCTGTGTGCAGTTTTTGTTGGGGCTCCATCATGTAGGAATGATTGATTGCTCGTGTGGCCGATCTTAATTTCCAGTCCCTCTGGTTGTGCTGATACCACTGACTCAAATCCTCCACCCTAAATCACATTGTTAGACTATTTGGTGTGATCCAAGGCCCTCAAGCAAATAAAGACACTCCAGTCAGGCATGTCATCCCCAGAGCTTAGAGAAAACCTCCCAGAAGCCAAGGGCAAAGAGGCAAACTCTTGTTGGCAAGCTTAAGTTCTTTACCACACACTCTGCAAATGGAAGTGTGAAGTTGTTGGCTCTGTGAGTCTGGAACTCCATGGCAATGTCTGAACTAGAGCTAAAATGGCTGGAGGCCTTGCACACAGGTGCTGTTAAGAGCCAGGTGCAGCTGGAGGAGGTTTGAAGGCCCACGACAAAGCCTGGGCCCCTGAATCAACAACACAGAATGATATCAGTCAGGGAGATGGGCGGAATCTAGACAATTTTGGAGCCTTGTTATACCTCAAATGGCTAAAACTATCAGAATCATAAATACAAGAGCACTTGATGGAAAAATAGCTATTAGTATTTAATGGAATACTTAATATGTATTAAGACTTATGCTTGCGTTGTACGCAAAACTGTGAACCTTTTTTCCTTTAAATTTTCCATTATATAAAAATTGCTAACATTTAGTGAGTGCTTAATATGAGTTAAGACTGGTGTTCATTCACATTATGCACAAGACTCCCTGAACTATGTTTTCTATTAAGTTCTCCATATTACACAGGCAGCATTAAGTCTGGTGAGAGTAGAATAACAGGACCCAGGCCAAACTACAGCCCTTGTCTAGCTGTAGGATCCTTGCAATTAAGCACTAGGTCACCCAGCCTCTTTGGGGAATCAGGACTAAGGAAGGAATGGAAGATCCCTTGTGGATGGTAGAGCTGAAGGTGCCATCTCTGGGGTCACTGTTAGAAAGCAGACCTGGAATGGTCCTGTGTAGTAGCAGAAGGCAGCTTGAAGCCACCCCTGATCTGCTGAGGTTTCATTGGACATGGAGGATTTCTCAGAAGCTAGGGCTATCTGAGTCAGGCCTGGACGTTACAGGAGCTGTTCAGGCTGGTGAGTCAAATTCAGGTTAGGTGGTCTTGGGTCCTCCTTCCCACTCACCCTGCTGTTTCTTGCATGTGAAGAGCTAATACTGGGGTCCACAGTATGTTTTCTCTGTGCTCCTGGGCCATTCTGTGTAATCCAAGTACCATTATCCCCCATTTCCCTCTTATCCCCTCTCCCCGTGTTTTCAGCTTGCTGGAATGGAAATCAGCAGCAAATTAACAAGCTACATCCATGCAGTCTGCGGCATTGTTGCCATCCAGAGCTGCACTAAGCACTGATTCTGTGCAGAAGCTGCCATAGCTGCTGTCAACAATCCAGTGAGGTTTTGATTATTATTACTCCCTTCTAAAAGTGGCTGAAGTGGCTGAGTCGGGCTTCAAACTCCAGCTGACCTGTTCCCCAAACTTGTCCACTTAACTCCTGTGTATATCTCTGACTCTGGGGTTACATTCCCTGAGGTTGCTACCTGGTTTAATATGCAAGCTGTCTTGTCAGCCTCGTTGGTTAATTATTGAATTGCTGAAGTCATTAGAGATAAACAACTAAATATTGATGTTTGGATAAAGACCCAACAGCAGAGACCTGAGCTGTTGCTGAGCAGTAACAGCTGAGGAATATTAGCTGAGGAATCACATGGGCCTTCCTTGAACAGCAGTGGGAACAGACACACCCCTCCATGTGCAGTCAGCGGTATTTGTGCTGAGGCTGGCATTCAGCCGGCAGGTGGCTGCAGTATGTGGGAGCACACTGCATGGGACTGCATTGTGAGCATTCATTTCTAAGTAACCTAATCTTCAGCTTCTCCCTGGTTTTTGGCTAATGATCCTTTATGACCAAAGCACTGTTCAGTTAACAAAGTGTAAATAATATTCCATAATCTCATGTGATCCTTCCCATCAGGCCTGGAGCCACAAAAGGCTAAGCTACTCTTCCCTTTTTACCAGGGAGGAAATCAAGATTCACAGAGGCTGAGCAAAATGCCCAAAGTGACATAGAATTGGTTAATGGCAGTGGGGGGCTGCCATCTGCTTTCTGCTGGACCACACGGCCTTCAAATGTACAAAATCTATCAACCAGCACTTTGCCCCCGGGGCCCAGGGTTGGAGAGGTAGGTGTGGGAGAAAAAGTGCAGATAGACGCTATTGTGTTTCTCTATGTGAAACATTCTACAAAATTTGCTTCTCCCCAGGTTCCAAAATGTGGCCACTGAGCTAGTACCTAATTCTTACTCTTTCCCATGAATGAAGGAAAATGGATATTGGATATTTACAAGGCTTGTGTAGTTGCAGGAGCTCACATCACCTTGTGAAATTTTCCTAGCCCCTATCAGCAGTGAAATTGCAGTTAATTAATTTTCCTGACTTTATGGAATTCTCCCCTCCTCATTCTCTCTCTCCCTCTTTCTCTCTCTCTTTTTTAAAGATTTATCTATTTATGCATACAGAACAGAGGTACAGGCCAGAGGTGCAGTGGGTCAGAGAATCCAGCTGAGAGAAGAAAGCAGAACAGCAGATATAATGAATTATACTACTGAGGAGCAGCGAGTGGGCCAGGGGAAGTCTGCCACTCCATGTGGGCCACCTTCCTGGCTGGGGATCGGACTCGTGGGGTAATGGCTGCAGATAGCTTCACAGTGCTGTGCTTTAACCCATTGCACCACCAAGGAGGGCCCAGGAATTCTCCTCATTCTTTTTTTTTTTTTTTTAATGATATAATAATTTATTTTTACATCATTTTGTGCCTTTTTCCATCTTAGTTGTAATCCATGTGGACTTCCCATCACCAAATCACCCATGTGCCATCACCATAGTCTAGTACACTACCCCCGTCCCCATTTTTGATCCCATTCCTCACTCCACCCCCATAAAATGTCTCTGGTATATAGTTGTTCATTATTATTATTATTTTCTCGCCCTGTCCTTTTACTCCTGCTATGAGTGAAACCAACCAGTATTTTTCCTTTTCTTTCTGGCTTATTTCACTAAGCATGATCTTCTCCAGCTCCATTCATGTTGCTGCAAAAGACATGAGTTTATCTTTTTTGATTGCTGAGTAATATTTCATTGTGTGTATGTACCACACCCTTTTAATCCAGTCATCTACTTTTGGGCATTTGGGTTGATTCCATGTCTTTCCAATTGTAAATAAAGCAACACTAAACATGGGAGGCAGGTGTCTTTTTCAATCAGTGTTTTTGTGTCTTTTGGGTAGATACCTAGGAGTGGGATTGCTAGGTCGTAGGGAAGCTCCATTTTTAGCAGTTTGTAATTCTCCTTTTCATAATGTTCTTTCTGCTTTTTGGCACAGATAACTGAGGGGGTATGGATGGAAATGTGGTTGTCACTTGCAAAATATCTCCTCTGTGCGCCTGCCTGACATTTCCCCTGTAGCCCACTCCATTTCATAGAATCCTTGAATTCTTTTTAACTAGGGCACCTGGCTGCAATGAATAAAGATAACATTTCCCATCTTCCTTTGCATTTAGGTGAGGTCATGTGATTAGATTTCAGGCCATGATTAAGTGATACAATAGCTGCTCTACACTAGCTTCTACAAGGCTGTGCTCGTCTTCTGCTCCATGTTGTTTTCATCCTTGGTAGATGGATGTGATGGCTAGACCTTTATATTGGGACATGAGCAGAAGGGCTGTCCCCTGGGAATGGTGGTAATAGATGATTCTGCCAACACTAGGCCAGCCCTGGCCAGGGCAACTTCTTGATTGCAAACAAGAGAAATCAGCAGCCTTATCATTGGACATTACTGTTCATTGCAGTTGAACGTAATCCTAACTTCTATTGTTTAGCTCTTTGTGTGTTTGTTTTTTGACCCATCATTTTATAATATGACGTTCATGTTTATTATTTTGATTTAATATTTGGCTTGGGAGACCAGACTTTGGATTAATCAGATTTGAGTTTGGCTTCTAGTTTGTCATTGATTAGCATGAAACCAGGAAGATTTTCTTTTAAATAGTAGTCAATAATCACCTTGCATGACTGCAGTGAGATCGTGTAGTGAGATTGTACTAAGCAGACACTGGAGTGTTAGGTATATAGATTGCAGAGGAGTTCAAAAGGAGTAGGGGTTTTCTTGGTAGATGATTGGCTTGTTGTAGGTAAACCTGAGAAGAGACATTTAGCTGGTGAGAACAGTATATGCTGAGGACAGAGGTGTGAAAGAGCATGCCTGCCTGCGCACCTAGAAATGTGTCTGTATTGGTTCCAGTATAGCAGGACAATGGTCAGAGTGTGTTCCGGGGCAGGAGACCCTGGCAGCTACAAGTGGACATTGGCAAATAGTGTTTTCAGAGGCTGGAGTTTGCATTTCTTAAAGGCCTCTGGGGCGTGAGAGTTGAGAGAGGGTAGGATTATTCAGGGAGAAACCAGGCAGGCCAGCTGGAAGCTCCTGCAATCACCCCACACGAATGACAAGGGCTAGACCAGGTAATGTCATGTAGGGACAAGAGAAGAGAGTTTGTTTGAGACACATAGAGGAGACAGAATTGACAACACTTGGTTACTGATTGATTCTAGGATTTCAGGGCCCTCTCCAGCTTTCCAGCTTGAGTGAGTGAGTGACGAGACCATTACCATTACTAGGATAGAGCAGCAGGAGAAGCGTTGGCAAAGACAATGAGCTCAATTTGGGGCAGATTGAGTTGATGCTGCCTTTTCAGAAACCTTTTTCTCACCGCTCAAATCTTCTCCTTTTAGTGGGTACTTCTTGAAACCAACCATCACTTACTTGCCTGTATCGTTGGCACATCATAGCTACTCAGCCTCACACATGGCAATTTCAGGAAAGTTCTGTCCACCCGGAAGGAAGGCCGTTGTTAGAGCAGTGTCAGAGACGGAGACACAGCCCAGGGGTTTAGGAAGGCAGGCCGGGTGTTCCGGGTGGGGGTCTTCTTTTCAAGTTTCCTCAGGAAACTCCTCATGGGAAAAGTAAATGAACCCTCCCTGGGCAACGCCCAAGGAATTCTTGAATCAGAACAGATGGGAGGAGGAAATTGAAGCCCAAGCTGGTACAGACAGAACTGTGCCACAGGGAAGCTCTGGGAGGTGTTCAAGACTGAGGAGCCAACCCTGGGAGTGGGTGATCCTCCTGAGAGCAGCCAGCTGGGCTGGTGTCCCCACTGACCTCCGGCTGCTCCCACTGGGCCCAGGACAATGATAGTGCTGTTTACCCCTAATGAAGAATGGGAGGTGGAAACATGAGGAGAGAGGCAAGGATGCAGAATATACAGACAATGGAATATGATTCAATTATTAAAAAGGGTGAAATTGGACTTTTGAGACAAAGCGGTTGGATGTAGGGGTGATTATGCTAAGTGAAATAAGTCAGAAATGGGAGACAGTTTCTGAGGGTTTCATTTGTTTGTGGTATTTATATCACCAAAGAAAATAAACCAGCAAAGCACAGCAAGAATAATCCATAGACTGGAGGGTGGTAGTTGGTGGGGGGAGGAGGAGAATACAGGCTAGTAGAGGTGATGGGGGGGAGAGGGAGAGGAGAGAATGAGGGAAGAAGCATTCCGGAGCTTTCCTGGGGAGTGACTGGGGTAAGTGACGTTTGCACACGCGGAGGGGTGGAGTTGTATTTTTACATTCTTTATGTAAATGACGGACAAATCCATAAAAGTAAAAACATAATAAACTAAGGGCAAGGTAATTAATATCTGTTAAGAACAGCCGGGAGACAGGCCCTCCCTGGTGGTGCAACAGGTTAAAGCACCACCAGGCCAGGGAGCTGACTCACAAGGCACAGCACACGTCTCCTGACCCACCCACTGCTCCCCTCAGCAGTGTACTTGGTCAATCTGCCTCTTCTGTTCCCCACTCTGTCTCTAGTGAAGCCTCTTGCCCCCCACACCTCTGGCCTGTATGCATAAATAAATAAATAAACTTTTAAAGAAGAAGAACCGCTGGGAGGCATTCTTGTGGACAGGACCTGAATCTGGTTGTCTGCGTGTCCGGGTCCAGCCACTGTGTCCCTACACTAATCTCAAGTCAGGCTCACCTGCCACCACCTGCTCCCTGCTTCCCCAGGAGAGCCACCTTAAGAAGGAAGAAAGTGAGTTGGTATCATCGCTTAGTTGAAAAGTGAGTTAAAGTCCTAGCTTGTTGTGGATGTAATTTGTGTTTTA